GCTTCCATCCCTCCCCTTTTCCTTAGGGAGGGACAGCGGGAGGGAGCCTGCCCTTGGGAGCAGGACAAGCTCCAGGGAGCATCCTTCCCCCTCTCCCAGCTCCAGCTGCTGGATCCTGTGGGTTCGGAGAGGGTCCAGGGTGGATTGGAGCCTGTGCCCAACCCGGCTCCTCGAATCCCAGCAGTAAATACCTGTCCTTCCATTCCTTGTAGGGATTTCCTGCCCCGTGGCTCTGGGATCGTCACCCGGCGGCCCCTCATCCTGCAGCTCATCTTCTCCAAGACAGGTTTGTTGTTCTCCAAGGACTTTGCCTGCTCCTGGTGGTGAAAACCACCCTGGAAGTAGGAGATCCCAGAGGATTCGTCGTTCCTCCGGTTGGGACCACGCGTCTCTGCCTCGGGCCCACGGGAGGGACGAGCAGCTGCTGGAGTGAGGCCACGGAGATGCTCCAGGGGCTAGGTTTAGGTGGGATCACAGGAAGTTCTTCCCCATGAGGGTGCTGGGACACTGGGATGGGTTGAATTCTCCATCCCTGGCAGTGTCCAAGGCCAGGTTGGACACAGGGGCTTGGAGCAACCTGCTCTAGTGGGAGGTGTCCCTGCCCGGGGCAGGGGTTGGAGCTGGAGGAGCTTTCAGGTCCCTTCCAACCTAAACCCATTCCAGGACCTTCACTCGTGGCTGGTTCTAGGCTGGGTCTGTGTCCTCGTGCTCCACTGGTCTTTGTGCCCTCGTTATTCCTCTTGTTCTCATCCCGCCTTTCCCTCTCTCCCAGAATACGCCGAGTTCCTGCACTGCAAATCCAAGAAGTTCACGGATTTCGATGAGGTGCGGCAGGAGATCGAGGCCGAAACCGACCGGGTGACGGGGACGAACAAGGGCATCTCCCCCGTGCCCATCAACCTCCGCGTGTACTCCCCGCACGGTGAGCGCCCTTCCCTGCTCCCCGCTGCCAGAAGAGCGCCCTTCCCACCCTCACCTCCGGTTCTGTCCCTTCCAGTGTTGAACCTGACCCTGATTGACCTGCCCGGGATCACCAAGGTGCCCGTGGGGGACCAGCCGCAGGACATCGAGTACCAGATCAAGGACATGATCCTGCAGTTCATCAGCAGGGAGAGCAGCCTCATCCTCGCCGTCACGCCGGCCAACATGGACCTGGCCAACTCGGATGCCCTCAAGATGGCAAAGGAGGTGGATCCTCAAGGTGAGGTGGATGGAGGTGTTCTCCTGCGCCGGCGGGGGGGGGGGGGG